AAATACCCATCAGCAAATGAATGGAGGAAGAAAGGTGTTAGCCCTGTAAAATGGAGTGTCGTTAGCAATAAAAGTCATTAACTCTGAATTCCTGTAACCGCATGGATGTGTCCAACATAGTTACATGGAGTAAAGAAGACAGATCAAAAAGGGTACACGATTTATACTTCTGCTCATTTCAACAACAAAACCAACCAAACGAAACACCGGAGGACTCCTGGATTCTGCTCCAACACATTAAGAGCTTGGAAGTTCCATTCTCGTTCCTTCGACAAAAGGAGGAAATGTCACAGCGAAGACAAGCAGCTTCTCATAGCTTTATCAGAGAAGTGTGTCACAGGGCAGTCCACCACCTGGAAATCTTGACTGCAGCCAAGCTCGGTGAGAACAGAAGCTACTGCATGACTAAGAAACTTGAATACTTCCATGGTGGTTCGATGAAATACTGGAGGCTGCATGTGAGCCCACAAGAGCCTTAACCCAGTAAACTATCCAGGGCTAGTGAGGTTCCGGATCTTGAGGACCTACCACTACCACTGGACTAGACCAGCATAACTCCTACATGCATTCCAAACACGTATCCTTACACTCACAGATAAATGTAGCTCCCAACCCTCACCGGAGAAGCTTCTGTTGCAACGAAGACCATTAAAGAAAACCACAAGTTATCACAATACAGATAGCAGCTGACTATGGGCTTCCAGGACCCAAAATTACATGGACAGCAGGACTCTTGCTGAGGGGTCATTGAAGGAAGTGAGGTGGAAAGATTTTATGAACCAGAGGACCTGAAAATCTGCTGTGAGATTGTGTAGCCTAGAACTGACAAGAAAGCTCCATGACACCTCTTCAAAAGTAAGGCTGCTCACGCAAGCCCTGAGCAAACACAACAATAATAGATATGCTAACATGGGATGGAGAGATCTTAGGCCTGGACAAAGAACTACAGGGCAACTGAGGGGACAAATGGTCTTCCCCAAGATGGGAATGCCGTAATAGGTTATCTAACGTGAAGGGGTCACCATTGAAATCAAGTACATGTATATTCAAGCAACACTGAACAGACTCAGAAGTTATTAAATAAATGGGAGCCAGGAATTTGGGGGGGATTGTAATTGGGAAACAACAACAAAAACATAAAGATGCATCCACGGGTAAATTAATCGTTTGAAATACACCTGGAGTTCTTTTTTCATAGCAAAGGTTACTCTCCCTGTAAGAGCCAATGAAGAGGAAACCCCAAAGCTTGAGTTTCCTCTAACCTTTCTTTTCACAAAAGAGGAAGGAAATATGCTAAGGAAAGATTCCAAGGTGGGACTAGGGAGACCACTTGGCTGGTAAGGAGCTTACTAAGCAAGACTAAGGACCCTTGAGTTCTAGCCCCAGGACCAAGCTTGGTGGTGAACTCTTGTAATCTCAGTGCTACAGAGATAAGAGACAGGAAGATTTCTGGGGTCAGCTGGCCAGCCAACCTAACCTATCCAGTTAAGTTCTGCGTGTCTGACACTAAAGGGTGTCTGAAAAGTTAAGGTGTATAAGGCTGAAGAGATGGCCCCTCTGGAGCATAAATATATGTACTCACAGAGAAAGAGAGAGAGAGAGAGAGAGAGAGAGAGAGAGAGAGAGAGAGAGAGAGAGAGAGAGAGATTCTAAGGGCAAAACCCACTGACTTTAATCTCCTGAAACATAATCGTGATGTTACAGAGTATTTTCCTTCCTGAAAAATCTCATGAAAACATCAGCCGGACTCTACTGCATTAAGGGTGAATAAGTGAGAGGTATAAAGCAAAGACTCTTCTTGTGAATGGGTTTCCTGGGGAACGTAGGACTGCAGTGGAGGGACCAAGAAGAAACTGAAGTCTCTGGCATCTCCAGTGAAAATGTTAGCCTAGCTTTTTCCCAGATCACTATAAAACCTCGCAGTGCAAACCCGGTCATTTACGGGGGGTTCTGCCGTCCACTTCATCTAGTCCTCAGCAGGAATCACAGGGTGTGCTGGAAAATAAGAGGAATCTCACAGGAGAAATGCCAAGCATTACAGCCAGAATCGGAAATGACAAGGGTCATGGAATTGATAGGTAACAGGAAATAACTATGCTTAGAACATTGATGGTCTAAAGGAAAAGTAGATAACATGTGAGAATCGGGGAGTCATTAGCTGGGAACTCGCTGGGAGCACCAAACAGCAGGAACAGAGCCAGCACAGTGTAATAAGTAGGCGTTGCCTCTGAGGGATTCACTGGTAGGTCTGATTCCACCAGTAAAAGAAGCTTAGGATTTTAATAAAAGTAAATACGTTCTACTATGTGGGTCCTGGGGATTGAACTCAGGTCAGCAGGCTTGGTGGAAAGCACCTTTACCAACTGAGTCATCTCTCTGACCCAATGTCTAATATAACAATCATCATATCTCACACACATACAATAGATAATTATCATCAAACATAGAACAATGTTGCAGCAGCCCAGAGGACCAAAACCCAGTTCCCTGCAGGGGCAGACCTGTGGTCCTATCTCCTAGGAGGCTGCGATTAAAGTTCCATGTCAGCCTGGGTTACACAGTAAAACCCTGTAGTAGCTAGTTAGAAACAAGCCTAAGCTATCAGCCAAGCTTTTATAATTAATAATAAATAAGTCTCTTATGTCGTGATTTGGGATCTGGCTGGCAGGATGAAAAGTCTGTCTGAAGGCATAGCTTGTCAGCCCAATCATTACTGCACCTTGTGGGGCTCACAGCTGGGTGAGACTGGAGATGGCTTTTCTCCTGCAATGGCGTGGCTGTTGCCTTTCAACACTACGACAGTCCTCCTGAGCTTTACAAAATTCTCAAAGAACTAATAGAGAGAAAATAATAAGTTGGGTTTTCCTATGGAGTCTCCTCTTCAGAGCTGGAAATGGCCGCAGACTGTTGCCATCCGGAGAAGAGCTTGTCTCCCAGGGAAGGGATTTCACACTGTCCCGACACATTGTGCCAGACAGCTTGCCGGAGAGTCTGCGTGTGAGACAGCGAGGATGAGGGGCTAGCACATCTGAGCAGGAGTACTCCACTCTGTTTCGTCTCTTCTCTTTGAGCTAAAACCTCCCATCGTGGCTGGAAAGGCAGACTTGGGAGGGCATTTGTTCCTCTTCCCAGCGTGGCTCCCCTTTCCGCCTCCGTTACTTCTCTAATAGGCCAGTTGAGGATGGGTGGCAAGGCCTAGCTTGTTAGTGCTGCCAGGGCCCATGCCCTGATCCTAACCAACTGTTTATACAAAGTGAGACGTACTTTTGTAATGTAACTTCTTTTGGGTGAGCTATAGGAATAACTTTCAATTCAACAGAGAATGGTATGAATTACTGAGGTGGACGTGTCTAGAACCCTTGCTGGAGTTGTGTTCAAATGCAAAAACCTTCCCTGATTCCCAACTAGCAGTGGGATGCAGTGCTCATTTAAGACCAGCAGATGGCAGTGCTCAAATCAATTCTAGTCAATATCAGTAACATTGATTAGGGTAGGGGATTTGCTTAGCCATCTCTTAGTTTCATGCCTGGTGTTTTGAGACAAAGCAAGACAAAGCCAGATCCAGGGGTTTGCCCGTGTATAGTTTATTTGTACCCTTGCAGGTACTTAGTCCCACTAATTTAAAATTAAAATTGAATCAGAGAGATGGCCAAGGACAATGTTTCAAAACCTCAGAGGGAAACAATAAAATAAGCAAGCTGAAGTTTTTAGCATCTTCCGGGGTGGTGGAATAGGGGGAGGGACATGGGGGCGAGGCATGGGATGATGGGCGGAGAAAACCCCATTTAGGATAGGCATGGAGAAACTGAGAAATCCGATGGAAAGCAGGCAGAAGCTTTAGGTCGGTGTTCGAGAACGAGATCCAGAAAGCAAAAGGAAAAAGATGCTCATAGGGAACTCAGAGGACATCTGATTCCAGGGGAAGGATGACACTGTGGACACGTGGTTAGAAGCAGAGACAATTTATGAAGAAGTAAAAAGCACTCCAAAGAATGGGAGCCGGTTAGTGAACTGAGGGAAGAGGCCAGAAAAGCGCTGGGCAGGAGGCATGCAGTCCTTCCCGGACCTTCAGATAGGCCCTCCCTCTCCCCTGTGGATTCCGATGACTTTTCTCATGCACACTCCTTTCTTTAAATAAAGCCGAGGGGACAAACTGCCTTCCTCTGCGAAGTGATTTCCATCCAACCTTGGTTTTCAGACTCCAGTGCCCATTCTCCTACCACAATGGAGAGGAGGGTGTTACCCAAGCGCCGTTAACTGTGCCGATGCTGTACCTATGGGTTTATCTCGCCTGCCCAGTTATTACTGTAGCTTGCGGGGTTCACAGTAGAGTAAGCTGTGACAACATTGCCAGCTCCACACAAGGAGGCCATTCCAGGCCAGGTGTTATAAATTCTGGCCAGAACCCATGGCTAGGGAACGCATGGGCCCTAGCGTGAACATACTTCTGTTACTAAATGCATGGAACCACTCCCTCCATTCCTATAGATGAGCATAGCTCTCACCTCGTGAGGGAAACCAAGGTTTCCGCCTCCCCTGGATGTCCACGAGTAATTAAGACGTTGATTACCAACCCTGTTGTTTTTGAGAGCTCTTTGTGGCTCCAAACACTAGTGATTTACATTTTTCAAGAGTCTCTCGAGTCTCTGGGGGTTGTCATGCCCGTTTTTAGCTTTCAGAGGGGCCTGTTCAGACACCCAAGCGGGAGGCCAGAACCCAAAGGCTTCCTTGCGGTTCCTGTCCTCTCCACTTGTATGGATCACCCAACAGCGAGGACGATAACCCCAGCCGGCTAGCGCCTGGTCTATCTATCTCTTTATAGTCAGGGGAAGGTCAGCTATTTTTTGATTCCCCATGGGAGAAGAAAACTTCTCAATCAGTATCTTAAAATAGCCAGCCATTCTCAGCTGCTGCGTTGGAGCCCCTCCAGGGAGAGCAAAGAGTCAAGAGTGGAAATGAGAAGCCACCACAGCTCGAGCGAGGACCTGCTCCGGCGGAGATCTGGTCGACTCAAGAGTGGCATTCTTTCTTTGCTGTTGTTATTGAGAAGTAGACCGTTTACAGCTTGTTCCTTTATCTGAAAGGAAACCAGTCGACTGGAAAATGAGGCTAAATGTTGCCATTTTCTTTGGGGCTCTCTTCGGAGCCTTGGGGGTTTTGCTGTTCTTGGTGGCTTTTGGATCGGATTATTGGCTTCTGGCGACTGAAGTGGGCAGGTGTTCAGGTGAACAGAATGTGCGTTTCTTCTTCAAAATATCCCTGTACTCGGTAGCCATGTGAGGGCAGCCTTATGTGCCGTCTTGGAAAATAGTAGTGGGGTGTCTATTTCTTCATAGGCGAGCTCTGTAGGGAGCTAGTGGTCATCGTTACTGGGGATCACAGGCATTAATGCGTAGCAGACTTGATTATACTCTTGGGGTTGACGGCAGGTCACTTGTCCTCTGTGCAGATAGAGAACATCACTTTTCACCACGAAGGATTTTTCTGGAGGTGCTGGTTCAACGGCATTGTGGAAGAGAACAACTCCAACGTCTGGAAGTTCTGGTACAGTAAGTGCAGCTGGCCTTGTTCTGACCCCTTTGTTTGAGGCGAACGCAAAGAGCGCTTTATTTAGTACCTGCCTCATTCAAGTGGACTCGGGTTCCTAATTGTACAGTCTTAGTACGATGGCATCAAAAGGGTCACAAACAGAATTCTTGTCAGGGGGATCGTCTCTAGCAATAATTTCCTCTTCTCTCATAAAAGTAAGAGTCTGAATAGTTACAATAAAACTGGATTACCTGCTGTTTCTCTGCCTATATTTAAAATATACTGCCTCTAATTAAAAAAAAAGATTTTTTTCTGTGATAGTTTCTTTTCAAGTGTCTATTATTGGTATGTCGCAAATAAGTGTTTTGGAAATTCATTTGGCTATAAACTGAAGTTTCAAATACAAAAGCCCAGAAATAGAGGTATTATTTTGTATTCATAGCTTAAAAGTTTTTAAATCTTTTTTTTTTTTTTTTTGTAATGAAACTTAATTACCAGTGGCAGCAGATAAAAGCTGCCTTAGTTGGGTTTCACCCAAGTTTGTAGGCAATATCCAGAAATGCCTTCCTTTTATGTTTGTGTTCCTATAGTGAAATTTAAAGTTCCCCTTTGAAGGCCAGGAGCTTGAAGACGGCGATGTATTCCCTGAGCTGCATTGCTTCTGCTGTATCTATCTTAGAGAAACAATTCATTGAAAATAGCTAGCAGTCTTTTTATTCTCGCCAACCATAGAAGAACTGGTTATTAGCCCAAAGCTTAGGGAAGGTTGGGATTATTGTCTCATGTTCAATTCTCCTGACCTCCCCCCCCCCACCTCCTTGCTCTTTTTGTGTATTGCAGCTTGTCACGACATCCTTAAGTCTCTGGTGACTTCATGTCCTTCCTAGACAGTCTGTCATCGTGAAGTGACCACTGTTGGGATATAGACTTAGATTTTGAAATCTAAGTGCACACGGAACAGATTTTAAGTTTTCGTAGGGCATAAAAGTTATTCTTGTGATTTTTCTCACGTGCTGGAATTTTGCTTGAACTCTGAATTTTAGTCATTTGCATCTTTCCCCTAACATTAGAAGGAATGTAGAGGAACGCTCTGTTCAGAAGAACTAGTCAAGGTCAAGGCTAACTTACTGTATTTCTAAAACAACCCTTTTTAATGCCTCCTGTGTGCCAGGCATCCTGTTGATAGAAATATATGAAAACTGGTACTGCATTTTACCTGTGCTTTTGGGCCCGGTGGGAATCTCTAGTTGTTTAGAAAACCCTCACTCCAAGCTCTCCGTGTTTTCCAGCAGAGCTTTCCTCTTCTGGCAACTCTCTGGGCTTGTTGGTAGGCTGTAAGTTTTGTTTTCTTATGTGTCCCTGGTTTCCCCTTTCATTAGGCATGAGTCATCTCCGAATCTTTGGTAATGGATACCATTCCTTTGCTTTTCTCCCTAGCCAATCAGCCACCGTCCAAGAACTGCACACATGCCTACCTGTCTCCATACCCCTTCATGAGGGGTGAACACAACTCCACTTCCTATGACTCTGCTATTAGTAAGTATCCCTCACCTCCGGGTTTCTCCTAGGACTGGCCTCGCTGCAAAAGTTTTACAATTAAAAAAAATTGATACCTATAATTATAATGCTCTATGTGCTATTAATGTGCTAAGTGTGAAACGTTAATATTTTAATACACCGTTTATAAGTTTAATTAGAATACAGCTTTGATCTAAAGTTGGAGCTATTGTGGTTCATTTGAGATTTAGGCAAATGATTTAAAACGTAGTTTTGAACTTGAAGACTGTGATGTTTTATCAACAAGAGCTGCTTCCCAGGTATAGCTAGTTAAAATGTAGTGTGCATCCTACTTAAACTTTGTTCTGTGATTGTTGCACGTGAAATCTGATTGTCCTACTTTGTTCATACTCGATTCTGTTGAGAACGATTGGCCACCCACAGAATTAACTGGAAGTCATATTAAAAACATTGTTTTTGGTAATTGAATGAAGGATCAGCGAAACTATCAATACCTTATAGGTACATTGTTCTAAAGAGGAAAACGGAATTCCAATTTGTGTGATGTTTTGAATAAAATAATATTGGCCAGAGCTCTACAGAGGAACATCCACCTTCTCCTGCATGCTTGATGGATGGGTTGCAGAGACTCCCTTAGGTACCCAATTCCTAAGACACTGACATCTCTTACTTAGAGTGGTGCGGCATCTGCATAGCACCCACTCACATCAATCTTCTAGACTTCTTAAAATACCCAACGAATATGCAAACAATATTTAAATAATTGCTATGCTGCATCATTTATGGACTGCAGAAAAAGAGTGAGAACCATGAGCGTGATGTGTGCTCTTTCCCACGGAAAAGCTGGGAGGACACCTCCACACTGTGCAAGACTCCTGCGCCCTGCAGGAGGAAGCAGACACTCCCACTGACAGCAGAACATAGGTAATATTTCAGCTACAGGGGAGCCACCAAGCTGTCCCTTTACTCCCATTTTCAGTTTTATAACATGAACTAGGAGGCAATGTGTGGTTGGATTTCCAGAACGTAGGGTCATTACATTAATAAATAGTATCGTCACTTGTCATTCACATGTTGGGGTCCTTCAGGGACAGAGGTATTATAGACACCATAGATTCAAGAATGTATGCACCTTACGGAGATACCGGAGAATAGGAAGATGAAGTCTCATCATCTGTGCATAATAATTACGCTGGAGATGGAGAGCAAATGCATGCCACGGAAATCCCACTGCAATTATGCTTAGAATTATTATGTAGCACTGTGTGTAATTATTGGGCTAGTGATTTAGATCCAGGGACAAAACTGTATCCAACTTAAAAAAAAAAAAATAATCACCAAACTCTTCTTGTTTGGCTTCTATATGTGACTCCATATCCACTTTAAGCAATTTTATTAACTCAGTAGTTAAAATGATAAAGTTGAACAAAGATATGTCCTAGAACAGAAATAAGGTACGTGGTGATACTTTGTGTTTTAGCTTGCCCGAAGATCAGCGTGCAGAGCTGGCCACACTAGTTAGACACAGAGGCCAGGCAGTGGTGGCACAACCTTTAATCCCAACACTCTTACTCCTAACCCAGACGGATCTCTGTGAGTTCAAGGCCACCCTGGGCTACCAGAAATTGATCCAGTCTACAGGAGAAACAGAAGCAAGTGGTGGTGGCTCACACGTTTAATCCCAGTATTTGGGAGTCACATGCCTGCAATCACAGCACTAGGGACGCAGAGACAGGAAAGGCTATGATGGCGTGGAGGGAAGAATATAAGGTGGGAAGAGACAGGAGTTCATTGCGTTCAGTCTGAGGATTCGGTAGAGGTGAGAACTAGTGGGTGGCTGCTCTATTCTCTGAACCTCTATATCTGACTTGGTTTTTTTTTTTATTTTTTTAATTATGAAGACCAATTAGGATTCACGCTACAAAGATATACGTCTCATTTATTCTCATAGTGATGAACAAGGTTGTCCTTTGTTTCCCATATCCAAGAGAATGCTGTACATTTTCTGAACAGCAGCCAACCTGAACTTTGTGTTTGTGATCCCTGATTGACGAGACTTATCTTCCCCAGACACCAAAGCTATTTTGTAGGCAGCTCTCTGTAGCTCCGTAATTACCAGGTATTATGGTCATTTTCACTAAATTGGAGGGATTGTTTATAAAATTTGAAATACCGTGGCCTGGAAAATTGTTAATGTGACTTTCCACTCACCTGATTTTTTTAGAATGACTGTTGGTCAGTGTTGACTTGTGTGTGAAAATGTAAGGGCTCGTGCCAGAACAGCCCGTTGTAGGCGGAACTAACACAAAGATCCAAGTCTCGGGTGTCTGTTTCACTGAAAGTTGATAAACTACAGTGGAAGGCAAGGCTGAGCACTGTGCGTAGTACGGAGATCGGTGCATCTGAATTGGTGGCACACCTCTGTATTCAGGAAGCAGACGGGAATTCAAGGCTAGCCTGGACTACACAGGCCATGCCCGAACCTGTGTATACATTTGGTTCTAATTCAGTGTTTTCTTTAAATATCTTTTTTAACTCTCGATGACATAGTCTGAGAATCATTCATTCTCAAATTTATATAACAGAACGATTGATTGCCCGACCCTGGTGAGAACCGGTTAATTCTCAGTTTTTGAAACAGGCTGGTGAATTTCAAAGTCCATTAAACAACCCCGTGGGACATCTACCAGGGTTTAGGTTTTCTGGCAGTTTCAGGCTTAGGGTCATGTTGAATTCCAACATGAGAGGCAGGCTCAAAGAATTCCAAGGAAGACTCTCCTCGGCTCATCTACGGACACAGGGACTTGGCCAGCTTCTCCCGTTTAACAACCATTCTTTAACTGTATCGTTGAAAACACACATTTTCATTGTTTACCTGTGCGCTTACATCTTTCGGGTACCTTTTTGCAATTCTATCCTGAGCTCCGAAGAACGGGAGTCTCGTCTGTTTGGCTCAGGACTGTGCAGTATCCGGTGCATCATTATACCTACCTGTGTGTGAATGCTGATGCCTAAGCCTCTGTGGATGTGTGTTGCGTTGCCTCGTTACTAAGCAGGCCCAGATGACTCTTACGCTGCTGGATTTTTCCCCCCTCCCCTTCTTTGTGCATCTCAGTTTCAGGCATAGTTTCCAGCAGGCAGCTGTCCTCTGTCTTCATTCATTGCCACTGTGTACATATTGTATATTCTCTTCCAGTCTTGCCTCCTCTGCCCTCATGTAAAATGTAAACCGAAGAGGATGCTGGGAAACTGGCATCAGGGGAAGGCAGAGGAGAGCCACTCTGAAGCTCTGCTTTAAATAGGGGTCAAGTGCCAGAGCGCACCTCGCCTAAGGCGCTCACGCAACAAGAAGGTCAAGGTTGCTGCCCTGACCATGCTGTGCGGGAGCCAGGCCACCCCTTTCCTCCGCCCATCACTTTATGTTTTACTGACTTCAGCCAACTGTGCCTAGAATCTGCATGTGGGTTCCTGTCAGTCCTCATTCACCGGACTGGACTGTTGCATGCTCCAAAGGTGGGCTCTTCTAGCCACTGTGGCAGATGAGGGGAAGAGAGACAGGCAGGAGGAGGGGGTTTGTGTGAGTCAGCTGAGAGAACCCCCCCCCCCCAGAGGGAGGGCATCCTGATGAAAATTCATCAGGATAGAATAAACTTGTAGGGGAACCCTGCACAGGAGTAACAAACACATTGCTAACTCTGATCAGCAGACGAAGGAAAGCGGGAGGAGGCTAGGATGACAAAGGAAAAGTATTTTTTAAAAAATTAAATTTAATTTAATGTTATATTTTTTCTTATTTTAAATATCGATCCCAGTATCCTCTCCTGCCCCCCACCCCCGACCATCCTCCCATCCCATTCCCATCCACTGCCCAGGGTACATGAGGCCTTCCAGGAGGGATCATCAAAATTTGTTAAGTCATTTGGGGCAGGGTCTAGGCCCTCCTCCCGCCTCTAGGCTAAGGGAGAATCCCTCCATGGGGGAATGTGCTCCCAAAGTCCTTTCGTGTGAACCAGGGATGTGCAGGAAAAGGTTTTTACATGCTTATTTGCTACATGGTTTTAAGCATTGTGAATAGTGAGGTAAATATTCCCAGCCTCCGTTTTAATGCTACCTCACATCGCTCCATAGTTTAACCCAGCGATTCCTCAATATTTTAAGCATTTGCCACTGCCTGTAGATGAGAAATAGTTACACGTATTATGCGGAGTTTATCGTCATTTCGTTACTTACGTCAGGTCTGTGAGCAGTGAGTGAATCAAAACACAGAGATAGATTTTATTTGTATTTGCTGTCAGGTCATGTGACCCGGTGCCTGCCCACTAGTACAGGACACCAAACGACTTTCGGGTTGCGAAAATGTGAGAGGGACAGAGTACGAAGGGAAGGTAGCTAGAAGGGGACGTGCTTAGAAAGGGAAGAGATGGAGTCGGTTTGGGATTAGACGTCTTAAGCTTGAGGTGATTGATGGTGGGACAAGTTTGGAAGTCAGTAGCTCCGAGCGAGCACATCTCTAAAAGTCCTCCACCAGCACAGCAGTTAGTGGTGAGGAAGGCCGCGAGAGAGATTTGATGTCACGAAAATAATGCGGTGTGAGTCAGGAAGCAAAAAGGACAAACGATCCAAAGCCAGGGACGGCAGAATCGCCGGCACATTCAGGGTAGTGCCTTGTCCCAGGAGCCAGCAACAGCGAGCGGGGAGCAAGGAGGCGCGGTCTCTAATGAAGAAAGCAGAGAAAAGGGGGCAAGGGGCTCAGGAAGGAAGGGATCCAGCACTAACCAACCATGCAGTTGCTCAAGACGCCCTAACAGCCCCTCCCCACCAGGGCTTCTGCTGCAGATGCCCATCAAGGTTGCTATTTCTGATTCCTTCTTCCCCTCAACCCGCCCGCCCTGCTGGTCCCACCCTGGATGCCCAGACCTCTGCTCTACACTGCCTTCTGGCTCTCGGCCCACTGTGAGGCTGAGCTTTTGGCCCTTTTTCTGGTGATGCCCTTCTCAACCCCCTGGGGAACTGATTTT